CTAAAAGTAAAAATAAACTTGTAACTTGACTTACCGATCGTTGATTAATATTAACACCAGGTTTTCCTACTAGTAATTTGATCACTTCACCTTTACCATGTTTTGAAGCNCAATGTAATGCTGTCTGTAAAACAAGAACACATTTCATACAATCTGATAAACTGCAAATAGTAACAACAAACTTTTTACGTAAAAGGTCCTATCTATCATGAAATTTTACACACTGGAACAAAATTCAGAAGAAAAATGGGCTGAAATGGTTTTTTTGTCTGAATATTACATGGAGTCACACTTTGAATATAATATAATTCAGGTTTGATGATAATATAATATCAAAATGTCAATGGCATTAAATTGCACTTTGAACTCTCAATTTCATAAATGCAATTGTTGAATTTTGTTCAAAATAATTTAGTTCATAACTAATATGTTTTGCCATGATAAATATGATTCTTGTGTTTCTCTTTCAAAAGGTGAAAATAAATTTAATTTTTATAGATCAAATTAAAGAACAAAGATACTTACATACTAATCAAGAAACAATAACATCATGATGGAAAAGAAAAAGATACAATGATTATGATTAGGTATAAGATATGACTGAGCCACTACAATGTATTAGCATGATTAAATCAAAATCAAAACAATGAACAGGACTATCTACATAAATATAAAATATATATATATAAATTTCATTATACTACATTTCAACTTGAATAGCAAAACATTTAAATTTAGATCAACAACATATATATTAAATATACTTACACCCTGGTGATGATGATTTATATGAAAAGAAAGAAAAATCAATGTTAATGAAAATATATAGAGAAACAGCTGTTTAACTGAAAAACTTTCCATCATTAATGCCCACTTATTTAAACAAACGTTCCAAACTTGTCTCAAAGGGTGGACATCAGAATAAGTTCCGAAGGGAGGTAGGTTGAAAATAGGTCAGTTGTCTGAAGATAACAAAGCGTGAAACTCTGAGTAATAACAACATGTATTTTAAGATTCTGTTTTAATATTTCCAGAGAAACAACAATAAATATTAATCTCATTAATTTATCTACAACTAATATACAACTTTAAGAACCTAGATAATTCACTGTATTAATACTATTCTTTAAGGTATATCTTGTACAAAATACCAGCTACTTACATTTGTAAAATCCTGCAATTAAAATTGGTATTAATGTTAAAAAATAATTAATCATGTACATGTATTTTATCTTTGTAAAGGACACATAATATAATTAAATAATCGATGAGAAAGGAACGAACTGGAACATTGAGTCTCAATAAATACAGTGAACTTATTTCTCAAATATGAATTTAATCAAACCCAGTGCCAGATCCTCAAAAATAAGGCTGGCAAGAATACTTTTATTCAGGTTTAACTATTTGGTTCTGAAAAGATTACATTTCCTTAACAAAAATATTTACATCCAAATTCTAAGTACAGTTTTTAAGCACCATTCAAGACAAAATGCAACAACACTTACTCTTATTTTAGCTAGGCTTGAATCTTTGGATAATAATCTATTCATTTCATGGTAATCAGCTTTACAACATGTCAACATCCATTCTTTTTCTTCAGCACCATACTATATAAACATTCAAAATTGATATATAGGCTATCAAATTTGTATTTAAAACTAATTTATTCTCTTTACTTTATACAACGGTGTTGTTTTTTTAAATTATAAGCAAAAGACAACTTACAGATATAAAATGAGTATCATCATCATCTTCTCCACCAGATCTTTCTCTGCCCTATAAGATATATCAACAACATCATCAAACATCTAGACAACAAAAACATCAGGTATTATTTGTGCTGTTGTCATACTGTTGAGAAGTTTTAATGCCTTGTTCTCATGCAAACCATCAAACTCAGTTGATCTTACCCACACCTTGTCAATGCAAATTGGCATTACTATCTAATCCCAATCAGGCTGATTTGATAAAGAAACTCGAAGCAATGACATAATACAGATTAATTACTAATAGTTTATTATATTGCTGAGTAAAAATCTATTCTAAAGAAATGATGTATGTTTTAGAAACTTACAGACTTCTTCTTAAATTGATTTGGCAATAGAATATCACTTTCTGAATCTATTTTATTTAAATGTTTAGCTCTATCTTTAACAGATATAACTGAATCATTAACATCATCATCAGCTGAAACTGTTCCTGTTGATAACTGAATTGAAGAACAATCATCATTAAGTAATGTGTTCAATTAACATGATCATATATAATGGTTTTTAAAATAACATATAAATTTAAAATATAATCATTTTAAATAAATGACTAAGAAAATAACACATATTTTCTTTTTAAAATCGTTTATATATCAAACATATAATGTACCATAATATATTTGCTCAAGTCTTAAGATAATCCAATACTTACTGATGATGCTACAGAAGAAGTTGATTCTGCTAAACTATTGGCACCGGTATCAAAATTCCTTTCCTTATTTCTATCAAACTGTTCATCACTGTGAACTTTTGACAATCCCTGTCCACTTTCATTATTTTTCTTTGCTGGCTGTCCAGGAGGTTCAGACTGAGCTCTATCTACTTTACTTGTTCTAGGAGCAGGTACTGGAGCATTTTCAGTTTGTCGATGTTTCTTCTTTAACACCAATATTTTACTTCCCTAAATTGTAAAGAGGAAGTTTGTGTGCGTTCATGGGCACAATAAGTAATTGTTACACAACTTAGTATGTTAACCATTTTCAAGTAATAAAAACCTGATTGTTTCTTTAAACAACATAGACAAATTTTATACAGCTCCAGGGATCCACTGGATTAAGACTCATTTCATGTGTACTTACTGGTACTTAACCTTGTAAGTTAGTAGATTTTGACCAGTGGATTGCAGTTTGCTTTCAGCACATGTTGTGGTCACATTATTTGAAGATTATGTTACAAGTCTGTAAGCTAATAGCAATCTTACCTCCTCTAATTTAATTGTAGCTAACTCATTTACATAATCTTTAAACTTTTCTCTGTGGGTTACTGAAATATTATCATATATATGCTTACCGGTATATTTTGTATTTTCTAAGAAAATTGAAATACAACTGAAAATTTTCAATATTTGTGAAATAAATCTATTTATTATGAAACTGGTTTGTTGATGACTTAAAAAAAATAAACTCTTACTCATATGCCTCTATTTAAGCCTCTGATAGCTATTTTGACAGTTGTCAGTTGGGGTAGGCCTAGAAAAATGGTAGAAAGAAAATATAGGCCCTATTTTAAGAAATTTTGACACCTCCCAAGGTGCATATTTTCAAACATATATTAATTTGATAATCATCATAACTTAAATCAAGAATGTTGAAAACATACACAAATCCCAAATCAATAAAAACTTTTGAAATAGAATTATTCACCTTTATAGAGGAATTATACCAAATTATTTGATTTGAAAGGTAGTAGTTTCTTCAATATATCTAGTAAAGATAGTGGACCACAGCCATATACGTCCACCGTGGCATGCAGATGGTAAATATTCAAGATTTAGGGGCAAGGGCAATAACACTGCTTCTAACAGTCAAAAAAAGCTCAAATTCGAACTTGATCTTCGTTTTATGAATATGTCTACACATACCGAATTTCATTTGATTCCATCAAAAAATCTAGTTTTTGGAGCGTTTACAAGCAAATGTTGAAGGACGGACGGATGGACAGACGGACCTTCGTTTCATCAATATGTATGCACATACCGAATTTCATTTGATTTCTTCAAACACTCTAATTTTTAGAGTGTTTAGGAGCAATTGATGTTGATAGAAGCACTTACTGTATAGAGGTTAAAGGGCGATAACTCCTCAAAACTGACGTAAGAGGCCTAAATCTTGAAAAAGCCTTAAATTTAATCAGAAGTAAACTAAACTTTCTCAACCTTTCGATTTTGGTCCAATAACATCCATTTTAAGTTTCATCAAAATCGGTTGAAAACTAAGAGAGTAATAGCATATTCAAGATTTTGGGGAAAGGGCAATAACTCTGCTTCTAAATAGCTCAAATTTGAACTTGATCTTTGTTTGATGAATATGTATACACATACCAAATTTCATTTGATTCCATCAAAAATTTTAACTTTTGGAGCGTTTACAAGCAAATGTTGACGGACGGACGGGGGTGCTGACAATATACGTCCACATAGAGAGATTTAAGTTTCTAAAAAGTTTAGTATAAAAATGAGATATACTGGTACTTACACTTGAAATCATTATAAAAGTTACTTGCAACAAATATTGAACTATTAAAAGAAGATAAAATATAATTGAAAGTCAATAACCATGTTTGTTCAGGATTTACAAACATTTTTTAACCACAAAACACATTTGCTTATTACAAATTCATTTAAAGCCCCCCTTCATTGTAATCTTGACATAAAATATTCCTTTATATTTTGTCTGGCCAATTCCAAATGAAAAAAATAGAATAGTTTATTAACTGATTGTATTACATAAATGGTTTAGTGGGAGAATGGTGGTATGGCTGAACTACAATAATATCCATCTATCCGAATATAACTGTGTTGTAAGGATCAGAGGCAGTAATAGAGGCAGATGTTTAGATCTACTTTCACTCCTAATTAAAGAAAATCTGAGTCATTCGGAATTCATTTGTAATTGTGGTTAGAGAGGACAGAGGTTGATGACTGTGGAGAGTGAAAGTAAATGGTAAAGTGGAGGAACTAGAGTAGTGTGAGATACAAAATATTTATCATGCGTAAGTCTGTTGATCTATTTCTCCAGTCCCTAAAATGATAATTTTGTAACATTTTGTTTCTTCATGTGATCAAATTAGATTTTTACTTCCGGTTTGGATTAGCCTAGATTATCTTACGATCAAGTAAATACGAGTTAACAATGTCTAATACAAACCTTTTGAAACAGGGTCATTTAGAAATGCCTTGAAATGTGTCACAAGCTGTTGGTTAGTTACTCTGCCACCATTATTTATCATGAATTCTTTCACTGCCTCAAGTGTAAAGCAAGTAGCGGCCATTTTCAATGTTTACACCGGAAGTTGAAGAAGTGAAAATTACGGTGGACTTCAAAATCAAACTACAAAATTAATTATAATCATAATATCTTACGGTAATTGATTATTAAAAGAAAAATCAAGTTTAGAATTAATTTAAATAGAAAAAACGCTGACATAGTTACGATATTTAGATTCCATGATTAAGTGATCTATAATAGACATTTTTTATGATATGAGAATAAAATTTCCATATAAAGCGCCTAGAAATTGCATTTCCAAAAGGTTATTTTTAGATCTCTTCTCGCATTTCAATCAATAGCCTACTCTGTACAAAGCTTTTAATTTTTTTGGAGATTATTTTTGCTAAAACAATATTAATTTCAGTAAGATTATACAAAGCTACATTTACAAAAATAGAAGTATTGCCTTTTTAGAAATAAGTAGGGGTTATTAATCCGGCCATATTCACTATAAAACATTGAGTAAAATAGGTAGAGTAGAGTTTATTTCGCTTTTATGTTTTCAAATGAATTTGAATTAGTCCTATATATTTGAAGGGAGGCTGTAGAGTGTGCAACACGGACAAAACTCAAAACGTTTAAGAGTGACACATCTGCCTCTATTCCATAGTATCTGATAACTATTTCAAAAGTTGTTGGCTGATATAGCCTTCAGTATCAACGTGGGATTGCCAAATTTCCTCAATAAAATGATGTCACAAGCTGGGGAGCCCACTTCTCCCCTACTACACTTTCAATTTTTTTTTATCATTTTACTTAGATAAGATAAGATTAAACCAGATTTATTGTAAGACAATAATAAAGAGATAAAATATAAATATATGATGATACACATGCAGAATAGACAAAATACTTAATATATAAATGTACATGGTCGTTGTATGCACCATATAGACAGAAATAGGACAGTACAATAATGTGAACAGATTAAATGATTATTGATATAATAATATAGATATATAATACTGCAGAATAAACATCAAAATAATACATTTAATACAAAATATAGAAAACACAGTACAGGTATCATGGTCCCTTTTACGTTCATCAAAAGCAAATCGAGAACTGTCTTTTGCTATAAAAGGCGGCGTGTCTAATATAATATGAAGGGATTGGTATAAATTTGTATAATTAGAAAAGATGGGTGATAAATTCAAATTCTCAAAGTTGACTATATCTAAGACATACTACATGTAGTAGAAAAGAGCGATTTAAGAACTGTATTTAAAAATTTCTATTATACATATTATTATAAATAGGGTTTCGGAAACAAGTTGAGGCTTATGCTAATCCCTCACCAAATACAATGTACCAAAATACAGAAAATATAAATGAATAGATATATGAATAAATAAATTAGCACACTAATATATTTATATATAAAAATTTAACAATAAATTAGATAGCTACCACAATTTATTATATATATATATAGATAAATGAAAGAAAGTGTGCAAAAGTGAATAGTGGTCAAAAGTGGTCATCACCAAGAATTCCGTCCGTCCACAAGTACACGATCACAACTGGGGTAAGTATACAAAATTCACA